TGAACTTAGACTTCTGGTGGGGAGGCTACTGGGGAGAAAAAATAGCTTATACTTAGAAGGGTTCAAAGTTGAGCTATTCAACTGGAAATCCAATGTTTCAGTCTCTGTGTTTTCAAAGCACCTTCTAAGTTCAAAGTCCAGTGTCTCTTTCACATTGTTCATCCACAGACCAGGCTCCCCAATCCGTTTCAACATCAAATGTTCCCACATGGACTTTTTGTCATAGTTCTAGAGCAAGACAAGTAGGTCCTTGAGCCAAGTCCTTTATGTCAATCATTATCTAATACACCCTTTCCATGCATTTTTCAAGCACTGTCCAAGTAAATCCTCATATTTTGGTGGGCCTGGTTCTTCCAGAAGAAAATTCAGGTCCCATTGGCATATTCCACCTAGAACTCTTGTGGAAAATCCAAATGTAATTTTTGATCTGTTATGGCGTCATGTTTCACTGGATTAGTAGAGTAGTATTTTGAGTCAAGAGATGGCTCTTTGGTTTTGAACTGGTTGAGTTCCTGAAGAGTTCTAGACTGCAGAACCTGCTTTGGAATGGAAAAGGAGCTTGAAAGAGCTCCTAGCTGAGGGTTTTCACCAAGATTTTGGTATTCCCATTGCCAAGTAAAGAATTGTCTGGCATACGTTTTGTCTGCTTTGCCCTACAGCAACCAAATCGGTGGAGGAAGACTACCGTAGCAAAATAAAACCCTAAAACCGATTTGGTTGCTGGAGATCAACTGATGTCAGTTATAAATCGGATGAATAAGAAGAGCGTCTCATCTCCCACAGGTTCAGCTACTGTTGATACGTGTTGTCTCCATGCGGTCACAAGGCAGCAGAAGCACCTGGGACATCTTGTCAGGCATACACTCCCTTAGGACCAAAATCTGTTATTTTAGTGGATTTCATTTCAGCCATGAATCCTGTGTTCACGACGTGTGCTTAGGCTGGCCATACATTATACAATTTGCTTGAGATTTTTGGTTTAGAGTTACCAAAAACCATATAATAGGATGTCAAACCTAAAAACACTTTCAATTGTATCCAATTAGGCAGGCTCTTGCACTACATGGCTGAAGGTAAATCTAAAGGAAATTGGCCAGAAAATTGTATAGTTTATGGCCAGCCTTAAAGGCAACTTCACCCAAAAATATTTTACTTCTAATGCAGGCCATAGACAGGTCGAACATCGGCCGATTTTTCAAAAAAAAAAAATCAATCCGTTCGGCCGACGTTACCACCAACATTAAAAAAAAAAATCGGCTGACTAAACCATAAAGTTAACCCCATAACTTCTGTCCCTTGCATGGCACGGCTCATGCATGGACTTTTTATCGGTAAAACGATCGACCGATTTGCCCATCATTGTCAGGAAACTCGGCTGCGAATTTTCCAAAAAAAAAAAAAGTCCGAAAAATGGCCGACCAATTATCCCATTAACAGTGAGAAAAATTGGCCGATTTTTTTTTTTTTTTTTTTGGGCAAAAATCGGCCAATTTTCAACCCGTCTATGGCTGGTATAAGTTCTCCCTGAAAATTAGAGTTCACCTAATAAAAAGGCTACCATTACTAGCCTCGTTCTGAAAATGCTAGTTGCTTGGCTGTCTGCTTGCAAGCCTTTCATCATCCAGATTAAGCTTTCACCAAATGAATGCCAGAGAAAACGCACAGCTACTCGTCTCTGTACCTAACCCCTTGGCGCCGGCGCCTCCCAGCCCTTTGATTCCAGAAGCCGGGGGGCGGGGTTCTAGGGTCATATGACCGAAATGATTCGCTGGCATGGTGGTCACATGATCAGGAAAGGTCTCGATCAAAAGGGGAGATTGGGACCTTTCCATGAGTACTGAACGTGTGTGCTGGGAGCGCGCAGGGTGTGCGCTCTCAGCACGTTTTTTTTTTAATAGAATGCAAATGTGCAGCCGCTCAGCGTCTAGGCCCAGACACCGGGAGGCCACACATTTGCGTTCGGGGTTCCAGGGTCATGTGACTGCCATAATTCGCTGTCATGGTGGTCGCATGATTGGGAAAGATCTCAATCGAAAGAGGAGATTGGGACCTTTCCATGAGTACTGAACGTGTAAGCTGGGAGCGCGCAGGGCATGCACTCTCAGCACATATTTTTTTTTGATAGAACGCAAATGTGCGGCCGCTCAGCCTCTAGGCCCAGACGCCGGGAGGCCACACATTTGCGTTCGGCCAGCGCCAAGAGGTTAAACGATAAATTCACCTTTTGTAACATGTTACGAAAGGACTGACCCCCCCGATCTCCCGTTGTGACAGCTAGATGGGGTCGTTCATTGATTCTTCCTGTCGGTGTGTATCTGCTTGCCCTGTACGAGTACACAGATACACTGACAGATCTGCAGGAGTCCTGCATGGCACCAGAAATCTGAAACAAAAAATAGTAAATGCACATTTTTTTTACCTGCAAAAAAAATGTGCATTTATTATATTTTGATAAAAGGTGAACTTATCCTTTCATTTTGGATGAGTATTTCTGTTCTTGAAGACATTAGATCTATAGAACAGCACATCGCATAGCATTTTCACAATGGGTTGAAGTAGAATTGCAACGAAATCCTAACCAGTCTTAAAATTGCTCCTTCCTAACACCTTTACTAACCTGGGTGTTACTAAAAAAAAAAAAAAAAAAAAAAAAAAAAAAAAAAAAAAAAAAAAAAAAAAAAAAAAAAAAAAAATGTAATACTTGCCTATTTTGAGTCTGGTCACATGATCCTCTGTGAAACGGCAGCTGTAGGAAAATGGAGAGAACACCCAATCCCGTCTGGGAAAGCCACAAGAAATGTCACCCATAGGCTGTTGTTGGCAGTCCCTCCTCTCCCCTGCAGCTACCACTGACCAAAACAGGGCGCTGGATCACATGACCAGACTGGAGTGGGCTGAAAATAGTTATATACATTTTTTTTTTAGTTCATATAGAGGTTAGGAAAGGGAAGGGGGCATTTTTAAGACTAATTAGGCTTTAGATCTGGGGTCTCAAAACTATGGCCCTCTAGATGAAGAAGTACTACAAGACCCATCATGCCTCTGGGAGTCTTGCCTGTGGCTGTCATTCTTGCAAGGCCTCATGGGACTTGCATTTCCTCAACACCTGGAGGGCCATAGTTTGGAGACCCCTGCTTTAGATGGAACTCTACTTTAAAGCAGGCCATATATGAAGCGATTGTCTTTGCAAACCATGGTTGCAGGAATTGCGTGATTCCCCCGGTTGTTAGAATCGCTCGATTCCCCCGGTTGTTAGAATCGCTCGATTCCCCCGGTTGTTAGAATCGCTCGATTCCCCCGGTTGTTAGAATCGCTCGATTCCCCCGGTTGTTAGAATCGCTCGTCCCCGGTTGTTAGAATCGCTCGATTCCCCCGGCTGTTAGAATCGCTCGATTCCCTGGTTGTTAGAATCGCTCGATTCCCCCATCGACAGTCAGTGTTGATGGGGGAATCCTCTCGTGGAGCTATTGTATTCTCCCAGTGGGGGGAGCCATCCCTGCCCAGAGAACACAGTGATTACGGCTATTGGCTCGAATAGCGGCTAGCAATAATTGCATGTAAAATCTGACATGCTGGTTGTACCCAATTACAAATTATGACTTGGGTTCAACTGGCATGTCAGATTTTACAAGCAATTACTGCTACAATCAGGCTGCCCATAGATGGTTCGAATCTTAGGCAGTCCTTGCTGAACCGGTCAATGTTTGAACAATCTATGGCCAGCTTGGCAATAGCAGCATCCATATTTTTCTAATGACATTTCCTTTTATATTCTAATAAGGAAACCATCCAGAGTGACGATCAAATGGCAATATCCTCCCTTGGCTGCCGGGGTCTGTTACAATTATTTAGGAGCTCCACCGTGGAGAAATTCTGAAAAGCTGACCAGAAGCAAAATCCCCAGAGGCACTTCATCTTCACAGAAGAGATCTGGATGCCAGTATGATTACACCCCTCAACTGAGCTAACCACCCTCCACCTAAAACTAACATTTGGGATTTGAGGGGCATTGCTTTAAGAGGCGGTAATATAAGAATTAGGTTTCATCCTTATGATATAGACCAGATGAATATTTTCAGCAGCAAAACAGTGGGGGCAATTTTTTTTTTTTTTTTTTTTTACAGTGTGGGCTCCTGGCTGCAATTTTTTTTTTTTTTTTTTTTATTTTAGAGCAGGTTTTCAAAAAAAAAATTTTTTTAACCAAAAAAAAAAAAACAAAGTGGAGCTCCTGCTGCAGTCAATGAGGGTTCATTTTTCAAATGAAAGAGCCTGATTGGCTGCCATAAGTAACTACTTTTTTTTTTTATTTGTTTAAATCTGTTTTTTTTATAAACAAACCCGTGTGCACTTAGACCTCAGGCACCTTACTATACTAAAGTGATGTCTTTTTATTTTTACACACAGTGGCTTCTAGTGGTCAAACATACTCATTTTTGCGGTAGACGATTCAAGTGAGTGCTACATTAAGTGCTTGAGAAGTGAATTAGGTGTCAGAACTTCGTAGATCCTCCAGATCTTATGTGCGTATTTAAACAATATTGTAGACCAGTGTAAGGCAACCAACTTCCCTCCAATTGTTCAGCTGCAGATTATCACATTCTGCACAGTAAAGACAAGTCCTTATAACGTGAAGGGGATTTTAAAGGAAATGGCAATCCCTGATTAGATCGAGGTTTATCCATTCGTGGTCCAAGTTTCACTTTTAAATTTGAATGGAATACAAGCAAACACTGAGGCTATGTCCATTCCCATACATACATTTTACGGCTGGAATGCAATACCAGATTTCACCAGCAGCTGGTGCTCCATGTAAAGGGAATCAGTGCAGTACTATACTTCGACACCGGAGGAGGGGACTACGTTTCACGGTTTTCCTAGAAATCCCCTTTTAACAGTTGGAAGGCTACTGGCTGTCTGATGCACGTCTTTGTAAGATGTTGATTCTGGTCTCCATAAACAGCCCCTGTTAGAGCTTGGTTTTGCTCTCTTAAAGCTGCACCTTACAGGGCCTTTAACCTCTCCTGGTTCCGCTGTTGAAAGAACTTCTTCCCAAACTCATAAGAGCTAATCATGATGGCGCAGGCTGGGGCAACCTTGATGACTCGAGGCATGAACCCTGCAGAGAGAGGAGATGAGAGGTGTAAAGGAGCAGGAATGGTGGGGTGAGAAACCAGGCTCACCAGAGGAGGTAAAAAACGTCACCTGCAAAGAGACCGCGGGTTCCAGACTCGGCACGAATTCGGCGCATGGCTCCCCATGTGGACGATCCCCCTATGTTTAGATGACCCTGAAAGCAAATACATCGGTACAATGAGCACATCAAATGTAGTCCGTAAAATCCAAAGTATTTTTTGCATTTAAATGGTTAGCACTTCCACCTGGCAGTACTAGGGTCGTTGGTTCGAATCACAACCATGGCACCACCTGCCTGGAGTTTGCATGTTCTCCCTGTGCCTGCGTGGGTTTCCTCCAGGTACTCCGGTTTCCTCCCACACTCCAAAGACATGCTGGTAGGTTAATTGGCTCCTGTCTAAATTGTCCCTAGTATGTGTATGGATGTGAGTTAGGGACCTTAGATTGTACGCCCCTTCAGGGTTAGGGACTGATGTGAATGTACAATATATATGTAAAGCGCTGTGTACATTGACGGCGCTATATAAGTACCTGAAATAAATAAATAATCTAAGGTTTCCATTGAAGGACACCTCTGCATTTCTCCATCCCTTGGTTTTAATTGCTGGCGCTCATGATAATGCGGTGGCATCGAAGTGTGTGAAAGGGTTCTATATACGCCAAGGATATTTCTACATATGCTGCATTTGTGTATTCTTCGCCCTTTCCTGCACTTTACCTATCTCCATGTTCCCCAGTTCGATCTGTCTGTGCGTCTTCACGACATCAAACGGCAGAGTGAAAACGGCCGCCACCTGAAACAGAGAGACATGGGCAACGTTTATGAAAACATGCAGAAATAAATGGAGAAGAGTAGATCACATAATAGCAAATGCCAGAGATACAAAGTGGATGATGGGGGACTGTAAATACAGAAAAAAAAAAAAAAAACTATGGAAGAGGTATATGGGGGGGGGGGGGGGGGGGGGGGACAGGGACTTACAGCTCCGGAAACTGCTCCTGATGTAAAGCTGATGAGAAATGGCATCTCTGAGGCTCGCCGCGACTTACTAAGCTTCTTCTTTACCAGCTCATAATTAAACCAGTACAGGGCTGTAGAGGTAGAAACAACACAAGGATTTAGAAGTCATGAATGTGCTTCTGGCACCGCTCAAGACTGACAAGACAACGAAGATCACCCCGCCGGCAAGGAAGAAAAGATGGGCGTATCGTCCCAAGTAACGCCAAGCGGTATAGATGAGGGATGGACGCCACTCCAACCGAACCAGCCGCTGTGACCAAGCCCCCTATGGGCGGGACGAAACGCGTCGGAGGACATGGCCAGAATGACAGCTGAAGCCATCGTACCATATCCATCCTTCTCGGACTCCTGGGGTTCGGTTTGAGCGGCATCCATACTCATCTACAAGGATCTTTAAGGATTCAAATAAAACACACTGATTGTAGAAGTATTAAGAAGGCGGTATACCCCCCCCCAAAAAAGAAATTCTAGCACAAATCCCATCCCCCCATCATATGACTTCTTCTAGCACAAATGTTCTTCCCCCATCCCAACACAAATCCCCCCCCACTCCAAGGCCCCCCCTCCCAACACAAATCTCCCCCCCCCAAAAAAAATCCCCCCTCCTAGCACAAATCCCCCCTAAATTTCCCCTCCAGCATAAATACCCCCAATCATCTTTATAAGCACAAATTCCCCCCCCCCCCCAAAAAAAAAAATCTCCTAGCACAAATCCCTTTCCCCCTATCATATGACTTCTTCTAGCACAAATGTTCTTCCCCATCCCAACACAAATCCCCCCCTAAATTTCCCCTTCTAGCAAAAAAACCCCCCCCACAAATCCCCCCTAAATTTCCCCTCCTAGCATAAATACCCCCAATCATCTTTATTAGCACAAATCCCCCCCCCCCCCAAAAAAAAAAATCTAGCACAAATCCCTTCCCCCCTATCATATGACTTCTTCTAGCACAAATGTCCTTCCCCCATCTCAACACAAATCCCCCCTAAATTTCCCCTCCTATCATAAATGCCCCCAATCATCTTTATTAGCACAACCTCCCCCCCCCCCTAGAAGAAAAAAAAAATTCTAGCACAAATCCCTTCCCCTTATCATAGGACTTCTTCTAGCACAAATGTTCTTCACCCGTTCCAAAAAAAAAAACAAAAGCCCCCCTCCCAACACAGATTTCCCCCCCCCCAAAATCGCCCCTCCTAGCATGAATACCACCAATCATCTTTATTAGCACAAATCCCCCCCCCCCCCAAAAAAAAATTTCTCCTAGCACAAATCCCTTCCCCCCTATCATATGACTTCTAGCACCAATGTTCATCTCCCAACCCAACACAAATCCCCCCTCCTAGCACGAATCCTCCCTAACTTTCCCCTCCTATAAATATCCCCAATCATCTTATTAGCACAAATCCCCCCCCCCCCGAAAATAAAAATTCTTCTAGCACAAACCCCTTCCCCCCCTATCATATGACTTCTAGCACAAATGTTCTCCCCCATCCCAACACAAATCCCCCCTCCTAGCACAAATCCCCCCCCTACATTTCCCCTCCTAGTATAAATATCCCCAATCATCTTTATTAGCACCCCCCTCAAAAAAATAAAAACAATTCTCCTTGCACAAATCCCTTCCCCCCATATGACTTTTTCTAGCGCAAATGTTCTTCCCCCATCCCAACACAAATCCCCACTCCTGAAACAATTCTTACACCCTGCTGTTCCCCCTAATTCCCCCTCCCAACACAAATCCCCTCCTCCCTATCTCTTTGCTGCTGCGCCCCCCCACACCTCCCATGATACAAAAGTGCCCAGGGCAGCCCCTCCTGCCCACCCCTTGCCCCGGCACCACCAAAATGTGTATTTTGCAGTTTGCCCGGGGTTTAGCTTTAAAGCGCGCATGTGAATGGTCTAAACTGCAGCAAGCACACAGCTGACACCACGTGTATATCACTCCACCATGAATACTAGGCACCTTGGGGTGTCCTGTGGGCGTTCAGTACAAAATATTTCTACTACCATTCACCATACCTGAGAATGGCACATCCCGCAGCACTGTTGGGCCCCATCCCTTCCACAGCGACAGCCAACCACCCTGAGATACAGCAGATCGCAGACAGGCTCCCAACTCGATGTACGACAGCTGGCGGGACTGCATTTTAGTACGGATCAGCTCCAGTGGACTGATGACTGTCACCGCACCCACTAACAGGAAGGAATCGATGAGAAATTATAAAACTGCAATCAGGTCGACAAAAAAGTACATCAATATAAGTGAAGCAACACTTACAACGAGAGAGAGCTCCAGCGATGAGAGGAATGTGACTGCCACTGTACCCCAGACCATAATACAGAAAGTCCCTCAGCTGATCGTAGCAAGTGAAATAGATAATGGTTGCAGGTACAGCCATCACCCTGTGAGGGGGAAGACAGAGAGAGGGTCACCATGGTAGGGATTACCGCCTGGATCCAGCTAAAATACTGAAAACGATGACAGCAATAAAAAGTAACTTTTTACTGTAACAAACATGATCATTTATATAAAAACTGTCCAAGCAGGTCTGATGCCCACAGAAAACTAGCAGCACTTGAAAAATAAAATCTAGAACCGAGACAAATCTAGACCAAGTCTTCTCAGTGCTGCACCTATGCACGTGCAGAGCCTGAAAACCATCCAACCAGGAAAGTCCATCAAGAGCCGAATCAGCTGCAGATGGGCTTTTCATTAAAGTGATTTGAGTTCAGAACCAAGATAGCAGGACATCCGCTTCCCAACATCCTGAAACCGTATCTTTCTACTAATAAGTTTTCTTCTGACGGGGATTTACCTACTTGGGACCTGATGTGTTTGTTTTGTACTTTTTATTTTGTCTGTAATAAAGAAGTTTTCGCTCGCCACTGATCACCTTCTGCTTTGATTTATTATTCTTGAGTATTTACAAATTCCCTATTCCGGTTCAGTCCACAACTAGTTCTTTTTCTGTTAGTTTCTCATGGGCTTGGTGTCTAGGGACTTCCGGAATACGTATTTTCGTTTGATCGTATATACTTTTAGGTACCTTGAGGCCTCTTTTTGGAAGTTTTCATCCTGGAACCGTACAGGGTAGTGGTACACAGACCCCTAATGCCTGTGCAGACAAGCATGGTTGACCATGTTCTCTACCAGCATTGTGACATAAAAATGTCACATGACCTGATGCCAAGAGTTAGAAGACATAGTCCAGAAAGTGAGAGGGGCCCTCCATCTTCTGACTCTTGGCATCAGGTCATGTGACATTTTTATGTCACAGTGGTGGAGAACATGGTCAACCATGCTTGTCTACCATGGATAGCTGCAGCAGATTGTGAGTGTTCCAGTTTTAGAAAATTCCCGATAATGGGTCTTGTGACTGAGAACGAGCCGTATCACCGCCCTGGTGATACGGCTCGTTCTCAGTCACAAGAATCATAATCGGAATTTTCTAAAACTGGAACATTCACAATCTGCTGCAGCTATCCATGGTAGACAATCAACGCCTAATATCAGCTTATTCAATTAAGCTTTGACAATAAACCCTGGAAGCTGATTGGTTCCTATGCACAGCTATCCATGGGAGCCAATCAATGCCTAACAGCTTGTTCAATTAAGCTTTGACAATAAACCCTGGAAGCTGATTGGTTCCTATGCACAGCTATCCATGGTAGACAATCAACGCCTAATATCAGCTTATTCAATTAAGCTTTGACAATAAACCCTGGAAGCTGATTGGTTCCTATGCACAGCTATCCATGAAAGCCAATCAATGCCTAACAGCTTGTTCAATTAAGCTTTGACAATAAACCCTGGAAGCTGATTGGTTCCTATGCAGAGCTATCCATGGGAGCCAATCAACGCCTAACAGCTTGTTCAATTAAGCTTTGACAATAAACCCTGGAAGCTGATTGGTTCTTATGCAGACCTGCACCAGATTTTGCACTCTCCAGCTTTAGTAAAGCTCCCCCATCGTGTCTCTGCTGATAGACCAGGAAGGGAAATAAAGGGCATTCCTAGCTCTTACCGGCCATACATGGATTGACAGTCGGCCGGTTCAACAGGAACCATCCAAATTTCAATCTATGTATGTATGGGCAGGCTGATTGTACCCAGGTCTCTGCTGATAGACCAGGAAGGGAAAGGAGGGGCATTGCTAGCTCTTGCCGGCCATACATGGATTGAAATTCGGCCGGTTCAACAGGAACAGGGCAAATTTCAATCCATGTATGTATGTATGTATGTATGTATGGGCAGGCTGATTGTACTCAGGTGTCTGCTGATAGACCAGGAAGGGAAAGGAGGGGCATTGCTTGCTCTTACTGGCTAGCTATACATGGATTGAAATTTGGCTGCTTCAACTGGAACCGGGCAAATTTCAATCCATGTATGTATGTATGTATGTATGTATGTATGTATGTATGTATGGGCAGGCTGAATGTACCCAAGTCGATCCATCGATTGACTTGGGTACAACCAGCCTGTTGGATTTTTCTACATGAGGTTACTGCCAGTGGTTATAGCTGCTAGCAGTAATCATTGTCTTCCGCCTGCGCCCGCACCTCCGGCAGAATGCAACTGATGTGCTGATAGGGGAATTAAGTGATTTTCTTACCTTCCACCTGTGGTGGAAGAAAAAAAAAAAAAAAAAAAAAAAAAAATCGACTTATTCATGGCTTACCTTAGTCACAAGACCCACTGCCTCCCTGCTGATAGCCCGAGGAGTGAAGTGCTAGCTCTTGCGCTCACTCAGTAACACTACCTGCCGCTTCTCTGCCAATAGCCCAAGACAGAGAGAGGATGGTGTTAGCTTTCCTTCCTGGGACTTTCTTTTACAATAACTATGGAATCCAATCAGATATATAAATATATATGTATAATCCATGCATCCACTTTATGTACCTGTAAGCAGGGCCATGGATAAGGGGGTACCACCAGTCCTCCTGTACGGGGCCCAGGCCAGCAGGGGAGCCCAGGCAGCTGGGTGACTTGATTATGGGCAGGTTGGGTGATCGGTACAATGAGGGGGAGCAATTACTGGAACCAATCCCCTGTATGGCTCTCTCTGCAGCAGCTGACAGCTAGCGGGAGGGAGAGGGAAGAAGCCAGCTCTCAGCTGCTGCAGAGAGAGGCATACAGGGGGTCAGTTTCAGTTCCAGTAATTGCACCCCCCCCTTCCTGCAGCACCCATTATCCTCCGTGTACACCATACGTTCCCTGTGCTGCCTAGGACCCCCTGTGTGCCCCCACAGTGCTTCCGGCTTCCCTCCTCTCCTTCCCACCAGCAGCTGCAAGCACACAGTAAGACAGTAAGATCCTGCAGGATAGAGAACGGGGAAAAGGTCTGGTAAATAGGTCACATTTTACCAGGCCTTTCCTTTCCTGAATAAACACAATGAGTGATCTGTACTGATCACTCACTGTGTCCATTCATAACTGAAGCATAGTAAACACTTTGTTTTTTGAGGGGAGGGGAGGACCCTGTCAGGTTGGCTGTATGGGGCCCCATGATTTATAACAGCAGCCTTGACTGTAAGGTGTATCCAGTATGTATTGTGGCAAGCACAGTGTGTGCCAATTTCCTCCTTCACAGGGTTGAGTTTTTTTTCTTTTACTAAAAGCACATGTTCAATCACAGACATTCGCAAACGAGAACATAACAAATACACCATGTGCACTCCTTATCTGCACATATATATATTTGCGTCAGTGCATTTGGAAGAATTACCGACAATAAACCTCTTGTTACTAACAGATCAATATGAATCGATACAGTGACATGCAAAAGATAAAAACACCACAACCTCTGCTCTATACAAAGCAATTAAAACAAAAAATCTTGTTTTATCTTTCAATGACAAATGCCATTTTGATTCTGCAATTAGGAGGGAACAACCCTCATGTACACATGTAAACAGAACTTCTGTCCTCGGAGGAAAATTAACCACATCCTTTCCACGCTATAGCCGAATTAAGGCTACAGCGCGGTTGTCCAGTTCTGGGAGGGTGTCATATGACGTCCTCTCAGAACGCGCCCTCCCGCGCGCCCCCAGCGTGACACAGCTGATCACATGACGAGATAAAAGGCCAATCACAGTGGCCTTTTACCACGTGATCAGCTGTGTCCAATGACACAGCAGATCACTGAGTAAATACAGTTGCCGGTTATAGGCAGCACTTTCCTCACGCTGTCACAGAGCAGATCGGCACTGATGATCAGTGCCTTGCAGTGCCAAACACCAGTGCCCAGCAGTGCCACCCAGCAGTTGCGCCCATCAGTGCCACCTATCAGTACCCAACAGTGCTGCCCAGCAGTTGCCCCCATCAGTGTCCAGCAGTGCTGTCAGTCAGCACCGCCTATCAGTGCCCATCAGTGCTGCCCAGCAGTTGCCCCATTCTGTGTCCAGCAGTGCCGTCAGTCAGTGCCGCCTATCAATGCCACCTATCAGTGCCCAGCAGTTGCCCCCATCAGTGTCCAGCAGTGCTGTCAGTCAGCACCGCCTATCAGTGCCCATCATGCTGCCCACAGTTGCCCCATTCTGTGTCCAGCCGTCAGTCAGTGCCGCCTATCAATGCCACCTATCAGTGCCCAGCAGTTGCGCCCATCAGTGTCAAGCAGTGCCATCAGTCCATGCCCACCATTGCCGCCTATCAGTACAGCATCATCAGTGCCTCCAAATCAATGCCCACCAGTGCCACCTCATAAGTGCCACTGCCTATCAGTGCCGCCTCATCAATGCACATCAGTGAAGGAGTAAAATTACCTATTGCAAAATTAAATAATCGAAACGAACAAAAACTTATTTTTTCACATTTTTTTGCACTTTTTGTTTATAGTGCAAAAAAATAAAAACACCCAGTGGTGACTAAATACCACCAAAAGAAAGCTCTATTTGTGTGAAAAAAAAAATATCATATTGGTAGAGTGTTGCATGACCGCACAATTGTCATTCAAAATGTGACAGCGCTGAAAGCTGAAAATTGGCCTGGACAGGAAGGGGGTAAAAGTGCCCTGTAGGCAAGTGGTTAAAGGCTGACTCTACCAAAAACAGTGTTGTAGCTCTTGATGGGTATCTGTGGGCTAAATGAACCCCTGGCTTCAAATATCTGTTCGATATTTTGGGCGATAGCTTGTGTCTGGCATCCTTACACAAGGCCATACCCATGGTATCATTCTTTTGCCGCTAATCTGTTTCCTGTATGTAATAGAGAATCCTTTAAGGTGGATGGGAAATCTTTATTTTGCATTGCAGTGTACATTTACGAAAATAATTCAGTAAACTCTGTTAGCCACTTGAGCTCTTGTACCCTCTTGATGACCAGGGCATTTTTTGCTATACGGCACTGTACTACTTTAACTGGTAATTGCGTAGGTCATGCAATGCAAAATGTATATAATTTTTTTCACACAAATAGAGCTTTCTTTTGGGGGTATTTGATCACCACTGGGTATTTATATTTTTTTTTGGTGATATAAAATGAAAAAAACCCCAGTATTTTTTACTTTCTGCTATAAAACATATCCAATGAAAAAAAATTTAAAAAAATCTAAATTTCTTTATAGCTTGTGTCCAAAAATATATTCTGCTACATACCTTCGATAAAACAAAACAAAAAAAAAATCTCCATAAAAAGGATATTAATTGGTTGGCATGAAAGTTATGGTATATATACACTGGAATTTTATTTTTTTTTTATACTAGTAATGGCGGTGATCAGCAACTTATAATGGGACTGTGATAGTGCAGAAGGCAATCTGACACTAACTGATGCTGAGAGGATTTGCCACTGAAAGCACTAATACAGTGATAATAATAGAAACCAGGGGTCTCCAAACTGTGGCCCGAGGGCCGGATGTGGCCCTTTGCTAGCCTTTATCTGGGCAAGATTTCTCTCAGTGACATGAGGCACTATTCCTTCCACTGATGCCAACAATGGGGCCCTATTTCTTCTACCGATACCAAAGATGGCGCACTATTCCTTCCACTGATGCCAACAATGGGGCACTTATTTCTTCCACCGATACCAAATATGGGGCACTATTCCTTCCACTGATGCCAACAATGGGGCAATTATTTCTTCCACCAATACTAAAGATGGCGCACTATTCCTTCCACTGATGCCAACAATGGGGCACTTATTTCTTCCACTGATACCAAAGATGGGGCACTATTCCTTCCACTGATGCCAACAATGGGGCACCATTTCTTCCACCGATACCAAATATGGAGCACTATTCCTTCCCAATAATACCAATTATGGGGCACTACTCTTCCTCCTACTGACCACCAATCCTGAGGCCATGTTTATTTTTACTGATGCTGGGGCACGGAACATTTTCTACTCCTGCTGCCCACAATCTGGCCCTCCTAAAAGGCTGAAGGACAGTAAACTGGCCCTTTGTTTCGAAACGTTTGGAGACCCCTGATATAGACTGTTACTGTACTAATGACACTGGCTGGGAAGTCGTTAACATCTTGGGTGATCAAGGGGTCAGATGTGTGCCTAACAATGAGTAATGGTGGTAATATGTGCTGCTTTTACTAAGAGATCTCTTTGTTTCTCATCCCTGCTTAGCAGGGATGAGAAACAGAGAGATCGTTCACTCTGTGCAGATCCCTGCATAGAATGTCAACACAGGGCTCTGGGTTGGGATTGGACACAGCTGATCAGCAGGTCCCGGCCTTGAATCATTGGCTGGGACCTGTGAACAGACTCAGCAGGTGGCCATGCATGCACATGCCCTAAACCGAGAAGCAGGCATCGATGTTCCGGTAGGTTGCCTTGCCTGTACAGGCTGCCTGTCCGTCGTGTATTGTGGGCGTTGTGGTCTGCAAGGGGTTAACCTGCTACAGTAAAACCGTTCCAAAGTAACTGATTGCCTGCTAAGAAAATCAATTCATGGTCCCGATCTCTGACCTGACTTTGAAAAGGAGATAAACAGCCAGCTTATCAGTATTCTTATATAACCCACACTGAGAACTCGTATTTTTAGTACGTACACATTGAGTCGCTAAAAAACAAAATAAAAAAAAACCCCAAAGTGCACAAAAATCAATTCTACAACTGGGCTGACCAGCAATAAAAGCAGCAAGATGTAATCTAACCACTTCAACCCGAGGCACTTTCACCCCCTTCGTGCCCAGGCCAATTTTCAGCTTTCAGCGCCGTTGCACTTTGAATGACAATTGCGTGGTCATGCGACACTGTACCCATATGAACTTTTTATCATTTTTTTCACACAAATAAAGTTTAGACATTTAGCAGAATACGTTTTGGCCTAAACTTATGCCGAAATTAGATTTCTTTAAAATTATTTTTACTGGACATGTTTAATAGCAAAAAGTAAAAAATATTAATTTTTTTTCAAAATTGTCGGTATTTTTTTGTTTATAGTGCAAACAAAAAAAAAAAAACCAAAAAAAAAAAAAAAAAAACCACACAGGCGATCAAATACCACTGAAAAAAAGCTCCATTTGTGGGAAAAAGGACATACATTTCATTTGGGTGCAGCGTTGCATGACCGTGCAATTGTCAGTTAAAGTAACCCAGCGCCGTATCGCAAAAAATGGCCTGCACAGGAAGGGGGGAAAACCTCTGGAGGGTAAGTGGTTAAAAAATGCCTGTGTGTACTGAGGCTAAAGGTTGCATTAATATGCAATTTGTGTTTTCGGTCAATGATTGATAAAATATTTAACTCCCCACCTTGAAGCCTTATACTCACAGTGTGGGGGGAAGGCCACTCCAAAGCGATGTTAACCCCTCATGGCGTGTGATCTTCACAAAGGCATCCTGAGGTGAAAAATAAAATTTACTAAAATGTAAAAAAACAAACAAAAACATAATGATGAAATGCACAAAACGCTCTTAAAGTGTTACTAAACCCAGGACCCTGCATTCACTATATCTGGTCTCCCCGGACCCTGCATTCACTATATCTGGTCTCTCCGGACCCTGCATTCACTATATCTGGTCTCCCCGGACCCTGCATTCACTATATCTGGTCTCCCCGGACCCTGCATTCACTATATCTGGTCTCCCAGGACCCTGCATTCACTATATCTGGTCTCCCGGACCCTGCATTCACTATATCTGGTCTCCCCGGACCCTGCATTCACTATATCCGGTCTCCCCGGACCCTGCATTCACTATATCCGGTCTCCCCAGGACCCTGCATTCACTATATCATCCGGTCTCCCCGGACCCTGCATTCACTATATCTGGTCTCCCCGGACCCCTGCACTCACTATGTCTGGTCTCCCCGGACCCTGCACTCACTATGTCTGGTCTCCCCGGACCCTGCACTCACTATGTCTGGTCTCCCCGGACCCAGCATTCATTAGGTCTGGTCTCCCCGCACCCTTCATTCACTAGGTCTGGTCTCCCCCGCACTCACTAGATCCGGTCTCCCCGCACCCCACATTCACTAGATCCGGTCTCCCCGCACCCCGCATTCACTAGATCCGGTCTCCCCGCACCCCGCATTCACTAGATCCGGTCTCCCCGCACCCCGCATTCACTAGATCCGGTCTCCCCGCACCCCGCATTCACTAGATCCGGTCTCCCCCGCACCCCGCATTCACTAGATCCGGTCTCCCCAGACCCCGCATTCACTAGATCCGGTCTCCCCAGGACCCCGCATTCACTAGATCTGGTCTCCCCGGACCCCGCATTCACTGTATCTGGTCTCCCCGGACCCTGCATTCACTAGATCCGCTCTCCCCGGACCCTGCATTCACTAGATCCGCTCTCCCCGGACCCTGCATTCACTATATCCGCTCTCCCTGGACCCTGCATTCACTATATCTGGTCTCCCAGGACCCTGCATTCACTATATCTGGTCTCCCAGGACCCTGCATTCACTATATCTGGTCTCCCAGGACCCTGCATTCACTATATCTGGTCTCCCCGGACCCTGCATTCACTATATTGGCCAATCAGTGATCACATGATCGGGATCTCACACAGAGGTCCTGCACAGCGATCGGTGGGCACTGGATTGCGGTGCTGCGTGCTCTCAGGGAGCGCGCACAGTCCAAAATGACAGTCGCCGTTTACGAACAGTCACCTGCCCCTGCACTGCCCCCATCCGGCCGTTTATATACATGGGCCGGACGGGAAGTGGTTAAAGTAACGCAGCGCCGTAGTGCAAAAAAAAATGGCCTGGTCAGGAAGGAGGGGGTGGTAAATCCTGTGGAGGGCAAGTGGTTAAATTGCATGAATTCACACAATAGTTTCAGCTTGCTTCAAGCAGTTTAGAATGCAACAAGACAGAGAACATATGTGGATGAGCCGGCATTATCTGCTCTTCCATATCTGCACATTCTTGACCACCTCTGCGTTCACAGGCCACCCTTATGACCCCTTTGCACTTACCAAAGTTCCATGAAAGTAGGTGGGTGCGCGGTACCAAGTGCTGCAAGCTGTGGCATGCTGGCACACAAACAGATGGTCCATGAGTCCATTACAATACAGGAAACAGCGCCCTGCGCAGGTGAACAGGAAAAGAGATCAGAGACATGACATCTACAAAAGGCTGGTACTGAAAAAGCAGATCAGACGACTAGAAAAGCCCGGAGTGAGCAGGAAAGGGGTCATGGTGTTAGGAAAAAGAAGAAGATTAGTGTACGGACAGGAGCTTTTAGTTAGTGAAGGGGGGGGGGGGGGGGGCGCAGTGTCAAGCAGGCTCATGAGCACAGCAATACATACAAACAGGGGGCCTCACATGTTAAAAAAAAAAAAAAGGAAATGAAGGTATGGCCCATAACAAACCAGACTTCAATTGTAATGGATCTAATGCAGCCTAAGAAAATGAACCGAAGATTGCCGCTGGTTTATATGGGCAGCTCAGACACATTCGTTTCCTCCAAGGTTTTATACAGCGGGCCCCTTCTGTCAGGGAGTGCACATAACCACGGCATGTGTGTCTGGGGGATTCATTACTACCGGGGAAAGACAACCAAAAAACTAATTAGGACTGCAGGATAAAGAAGGACAGGGACTACTGATGCAGAGTAACCACAGCAACTAGGTTTAACCACTTCCACTCCGGACACTTTCACCCCCTGTCCATTTTCAGCGCTATCACACTTTGAATGACAATGCGCAGTCATGCAACACTATACCCATATGACTTTTTTTTTTGCATTTTTTGAGACAGATAAAACTTTATTTTGATGGTATTTATTCACCACTGGGATTTTTATTTTGTTGCTATATAAATGAAAAAGTCCAAAAATTTTGGCCAAGATTTATGAAGAAAGATTTATTTGAAAATTTTATAAGAAAAACACTTTTTTTTTCAAAATGTTTGGACTTTTTCATTTGTATAGCAACAAAATAAAAATCCCAGTGGTGCATAAATACCACCAAAATAAAGTTTTATCTGTCTCAAAAAAATGCTAAAAAATTCATATGGGTACAGTGTTGCATGACCGCGCAATTGTCATTCAAAGTGTGATAGCACTGAAAGCTGAAAATTGGCCTGGACGGGGATGAAAGTGTCCGGACTGGAAGTGGCTAAAGAAAAAAAGAATGCATGCACATATTTTTGCAGAAATGTTTTTTTTTCTTTCCTGCAGAAGCCTTCAGATCGATTTTTTTAAATGCAGCTGAAATACCAGAATACAATAGGACTTAGAATCAGCCTAATGGTGAAAGTAGGTGAGAGCAGAGTGACAAAAGACAAACTCGGTAGTCTGCTGCTTCTCCTTTTCCTGTCAAATCGCAGGCTGAGGAAGGGACAAGTCCTGCAAGCCATGTCTGTGCTATGTGTCAGTGCTGTGTAATTTTCAGGACTGGATTAACCAACATGCAAATCCCACTGTCACGGTCTCCCCCCTTCTCGCTCCCCTTTGATCATTCACCCCTCCCTTCCCCTTGCAGATTCCTAATGTCCTGCACCAGCCTACATCAAAGGCTGTGCAGGACGGAAGGAAACGCCCCCTGTGGTGCGGTTAGCACCTCTCCTAGAGGAGGCCACCTGGGTGTTTCTGCGCCCCCCTCCTTGTCCCGGCGGGCGCAGCACGGCCCCGAGGCTTCCCGAGCTCGGCGCCCCCGGAGACAAAGGCCGCATTCCCCGAGCACGGCCGGAGTGAGGGGGCGTGCCTCGTTGCCCCGGCAACCTGACGCAGGGCAGGCCGTTGCCGGGGTAACCAGGAAGCGTCCTGCTCCGGCATAAGAGGACCGGAGCAGGACCCAGAGCCCCTGGAAGCCGCCTGCTGTGTCCCCGCAAGCCGCCTGCTGCCGAGGGTCCCCGCAAGCCGCCTGCTGCCGAGGGTCCCCGCAAGCCGCCTGCCGCCGAGTGTCCCCGCAAGCCGCCTGCCGCCGAGTGTCCCCGCAAGCCGCCTGCCGCCGAGTGTCCCCGCAAGCCGCCTGCCGCCGAGTGTCCCCGCAAGCCGCGCCTGTCCCCGCAAGCCGCCTGCCGCCGAGTGTCCCCCGCAAGCCGCCTGGCCGAATGCCCCCGAAGCCGCCCCTGCCGCAGCAAGCCGCCTGGCGCAGAGTGTCCCCCGCAAGCCCGCAAGCCTGGCGCAGAGTGTGCCCGCAAGCCGCCTGGCGCAGAGTGTCCCCGCAAGCCGCCTGGCGCAGAGTGTCCCCGCAAGCCGCCTGGCGCAGAGTGTCCCCGCAAGCCGCCTGGCGCAGAGTGTCCCCGCAAGCCGCCTGGCGCAGAGTGTCCCCGCAAGCCGCCTGGCGCAGAGTGTCCCCGCAAGCCGCCTGGCGCAGAGTGTCCCGGAAGCTGCATGCTGCTAAATGCCCCTGCAAGCCCACCCATTGTGTGCCTGGACTCTCTTTGCCTCTACTGACCCTGCTGTGTGTCCAGATTATTGTTGTCTGAACTGCCCCTATTGTGTGCCCGGACTACCTTGGCCTGAACTGCCCCCTATTGTGTGCCCGGACTACCTTGGCCTGAACTGCCCCCCTATTGTGTGCCCGGACTACCTTGGCCTGAACTGCCCCCTATTGTGTGCCCGGACTACCTTGGCCTGAACTGCCCCTATTGTGTGCCCGGACTACCTTGGCCTGAACTGCCCCTATTGTGTGCCCGGACTACCTTGGCCTGAACTGCCCCCTATTGTGTGCCCGGACTACCTTGGCCTGAACTGCCCCCTATTGTGTGCCCGGACTACCTTGGCCTGAACTGCCCCCTATTGTGTGCCCGGACTACCTTGGCCTGAACTGCCCCCTATTGTGTGCCCGGACTACCTTGGCCTGAACTGCCCCCTATTGTGTGCCCGGACTACCTTGGCCTGAACTGCCCCCCTATTGTGTGCCCGGACTACCTTGGCCTGAACTGCCCCTATTCTGTGCCCCTACCTTGGCCTGAACTGCCCCCTATTGTGTGCCCGGACTACCTTGGCCTGAACTGCCCCCTATTGTGTGCCCGGACTACCTTGGCCTGAACTGCCCCTATTGTGTGCCCGGACTACCTTGGCCTGAACTGCCCCTATTGTGTGCCCGGACTACCTTGGCCTGAACTGCCCCCCTATTGTGTGCCTGGACTACCTTGGCACTGCGTAAAGTGCTGTGCAAATTGACGGCGCTATACAAGTACCTGAAATAAATAAATAGCAGGAGACAATCAGACCTCAGGATGTTCCGATGATACAGCCACATATTAAACAGGTCAGTGACAATGCTTACATATTGATAACCACACAGACCATTCCCTATGTACACTGCGGATGTCACAATGCAGTTGGGAAGTGAGGATGACATGTAGACACACTGAAACATTTATAAAACAGTGGAGCACAAGTTCAGCCATTTTTTCCACAGGAACCAATCAGGATCCTTATTCCATTTTTTTCCAGAACCGGTCTGAGAATGAAAGATGACACCCGATTGGTTGCTATGAGCAACAGCTACTTGGCTCTGTAACAAAAGCACCATCTCTTGAGGCTAGGGGCAACGTAGAACACCTCATTGCCCGAGTTTGCACAGCAAACTTTTTTTTTTTTTTTTTTTTTTTATACTAGGAAAAAGTGAGTGGGCCAACCTGTACTCACATTTAGGGTGGCGCAAAGGGGGTGCCCAGGGAAGAGACTTTACAGACATTACTGCAACACAAGAGGGAAAAATTGGGAAAAAGAACAAAAAATATGAGAGCAATCTATGCAATATATGTATAATAACACACAGATACATATATAGGCATTAATGTCAGAAGCGATGATGTTAAAGCTGAAAGTGTAAGTGCGTTTTATGAAGACGTAGCAGCTAAAGGGTGGTTATCCAATAAAAAAAGCGCAAACAGTGTAGATGATGTGCAAAAGGCACTAGCAACCAGACACCTGTAGTCAGTCCGGCTAAACACGACTTCTGATTGGCTGTCACAGTTAGTGAACCTTTCACTTAGCCTGTCCCCTCTATTGTAGACACTCACCGTCTCCAATGCCCCATTCACAAGCCAGAGCGCTGTAAAGTTCCAGGTACTTCCTGGTATGGGGGGGGGGGGGGTCATGTGACCCTCTCCCCTTCCTTCAATGACCTGTTGTTGGCAACTCTGCAGCTAGTCAATAGGCCTGAGCTGTGCCAGGTTGGGGTAGGGTGGAGCACTCTTAACCTTTGATGCTGAGCTCACTACTCTGATGGGTGAACAGGACAGCAGAGGAGGAATGTAATCAGTGGAAGAAGAGGTGGGCCATCATGCCTGACCCCTGGTTCACATATATGCGGCAGTGCGGACCGCATTGTGCGCAGGAACGAGAGCCCATTCATTTGGATGGACTCCCGTGTCCGTGACACGCAGGGAAGTCGTCCCTGCACTGCTGAAAATGCAGCCCGCACGGGAACCTCAGTTCCCAGTACGGTTGCGTTTTCTAGTGCGGGCATTAGAAATAATGGCACCTGCTCGCGGGTCCGCATTCCTCTCTGAGGGTGGTGCGGCTGCATGGATTTTCACGCAGATCCGCAGCGGCACCACCCGCACAGATGTGAACCAAGCCTTAAAGCGGAGTTCCAGATGTTTTTGTATTTATTAAGCCCTGGTTCACACTGATGCGGTGTGGAATTCGCAGTGTTTTCAGTGCAAATTCCGCACCGCATCAGAATCGCACCCCGTTCATGCGAACCGCTGCGGGTGTGTATCTTAACACCCCGAAAGCGGTCCGGAAAACGCGGTGCGATGTGCAGAATAGGATCACATAGGCGTGAATACCCATGAGATACGATTCTAGTTCGGACCCAAAAAAGGGATCCAAAATGTATGGATCCAATTGCACCGCACACAAATCGCGCGTGTGATTCGCACAGGAATGTGGTGCGGTTCCTGTGCGAAGCCCATGTGAAATACCGCACCGCATATATGTGAACCCGGGCTTAAAGTCAAAAACTGTAGCTGCTGGCTTTTACGTCACAGCTGACTTTACAGCTGGGTGCCCACTGCGCATGCGCATCCTGATTGGTCCGGCAGTCTTCTGTGATCTGTGAAGGTTCCCAGGAGATTGCTGGAGGAAGGAGGGGGCCAGGAACTGTGGGATCTGTGAAGGTCCCCAGGAGATTGCTGGAGGAAGGAGGGGGGAGGAACTGTGGGCACCAGGCTGTGACACCTTGCGACTTCACAGCCGGGTGCCCACTGAGCATCCTGTTTGGTCCGGCAGTCTTCTGTGATCTGTAAAGGTTCCCAGGAGATTGTTGGAGGAAGGAGGGAGCCAGGAATTGTGGGATCTGTGAAGGTCCCCAGGAGATTGCTGGAGGAAGGAGGGGGCCAGGAACTGTGGGATCTGTGAAGGTTCCCAGGAGATTGCTGGAGGAAGGAGGGGGCCAGGAACTGTGGGATCTGTGAAGGTCCCCAGGAGATTGTGGGAAGAAGGAGGGGGGAGGAACTGTGGGCACCAGGCTATGACAGCTTGCGACTTCACCGCCGGGTGCCCACTGAGCATCCTGATTGGTCCGGCAGTCTTCTGCGATCTGTGAAGGTTCCCAGGAGATTGTGGGAGGAAGGAGGGGGCCAGGAACTGTGGGATCTGTGAAGGTTCCCAGGAGATTGCGGGAGGAAGGAGGGGGCCAGGAACTGTGGGATCTGTGAAGGTCCCCAGGAGATTGCGGGAGGAAGGAGGGGGCCAGGAACTGTGGGATCTGTGAAGGTCCCCAGGAGATTGCGGGAGTAAGGAAGGGGCCAGGAACTGTGGGATCTGTGAAGGTTCCCAGGAGATTGCGGGAGGAAGGAGGGGGCCAGGAACTGTGGGATCTGTGAAGGTCCCCAGGAGATTGCGGGAGGAAGGAGGGGGCCAGGAACTGTGGGATCTGTGAAGCTTCCCAGGAGATTGCTGGAGGAAGGAGGGGGCCAGGAACTGTGGGATCTGTGAAGGTCCCCAGGAGATTGCGGGAGGAAGGAGGGGGCCAGGAACTGTGGCATCTGTGAAGGTCCCCAGGAGATTGTAGAAGGAAGGAGGGAGGGAGGAACTGTGGGCACCAGGCTGTGACAGCTTGTGACTTCACAGCCAGGTGCCCACTGCGCATGCGCATCCTGATTGGTCCAGCAGTCTTCTGGGATCTGTGAAGGTTCCCAGGAGATTGCGGAAGAGGGAGGGGGTACCTGTCAAAAGCAGGTATCCGCTCCCCCCCAAAAGCTGCCAAATATGGCAGTGGAGGGGGGGGAAGATGGAGGAAAACAAGCGGAGCTTCGACTTTTGGGTGGAACTCAGTTTTAAATAGGAAAAGTGATAGGTTCACTTGAAAACAACTGTTCATAAAAATATTCTAGACTACAGATAAAGCATATGATTGCACATCATTCTATATATACAACATATAACCAGTACAAGAAATATAGATAACAAACTATAAATGTTATACAAGTCTATGCGGTTTGCATTTGATCCGTTTCTGCAGTGCTTTTTGCAACTTTTTTGATGCGCTTCGTGTTTTTTTTTTCTTCTTGTTGCTAGGCAGATTAAAACGCAAAATGCATTGTTTTTGCACCTGCATTTTTGATGCGTTAAATTTTTTTCTTCTTGCTAGGCAGATTCAAAACGCGGCAAAAGTGCACTGCATGCTTTTCTGCAGTGTCTCCACTGACGTCTATGAACCAAAAACGCAACTTTTTTGCAGTTAAAAAAAGTCCCTGACCCTTTACAAAAACCGCACCGGGTGAAAACGCGGAGATGTGAACGTGTCCCATAGCAAACCATGCTGAATGGACTGTACTGCGTTTCTACAAAACTCTGCGGAAAACACTTAGGTGTGAACCTACGGTAAAGGCTGTACACCCAAAAATATGCTCCCCAACAGTTTGTCCTGGGACTTTTAAGGCAACTCAAAACAAATAATATAAACACTTAAATCATTTTATTACAAAACTGCGGTGAAACATCATAATTTGAAACAGAACAGAAAATGTTAAAATCATACATCAAAGAAAATAGCGGAAAAAAAAAAAAAAAAGCCTGTAGACTTGCTGTCGGCTGAGAATTGATATTCCCCCTCTCCTGTGAGCCAGAAGAAAGCGAAGGGCGAGTAAGCTTTGGCTGAAAAGACCCGAATGGAAACGCTGCAGAAAAGCATGTGGTGTGTTTTTGATGCATTTTGCATTTTAAATCTGCCTAGCAACAAGAAAAAGAAAAATGCATAAAAAAATGCAGGTGCAAAAACACAACTTAGAAACAGGTCAAACGCAAACTGCATAGGTGTGAATCCCACTCATGGCACCACCTGCCTGCATGTTCTCTCTGTGCCTGCGTGGGTTTCCTCTGGGTACTCCAGTTTCCTCCCACACTCCAAAGACATGCTGGTAGGTTAATTGGCTCCTGTCTAAATTGGCCCTAGTATGTATATGTATGAATGTGAGTTAGGGACCTTAGATTGTACGCCCCTTGAGGGTTAGGGACTGATGTGAATAGGGGCAGACTGACCATTTGGAAACTCTGGCAGTGCCCGAGGGCCCGGGGTCAGTAGGAGGCCCCATGAGATGCCCCTGGTACCTTTTTCATAGACTTTTTTGAGTTTGGGCAAGGACACAGGGGCCCCATGATCCCCTATTGCCCGGGGGCCCCATGAGTTGTCAGTTCACCCCTGGATGTGAATGTACAATATATATGTAAAGCGCTGCGTAAATTTATGGTGCTATATAAGTACCTGAAATAAATACAAATAAATAAAATCTAATAAATAAATTAAAAAAATAAAATTGACCTCGGAATGAACGCGGCAAGCTACAGACGATCAGCCAATAAACAGAGGGTTAGCAAAGAAGCAGAGAAGACCCTTCTAGCAATAGGTTACCTTTGGAGAACGGCTTCTTCTGGGACTGCAGCCTGATCTTCACAACATCCAGGGGGGTCACTGGGAATGAACAGATGAAGTGAGACGCAGCGACTTACGAGTACCCCCCCCATTACCACTGCCTCCAGGGTATTGGCCACTTCTCATACCGAATAGTGAGGTGAGGAGAGCTCCGGTCCCTGATGCCAGGATTTGCTGCAGTGGCGTGATGTCGCACCGCGAGGTGCCGCTTTCCTTAACCGCCATCCCTGCCATGATGGATGAAAACTGTGGGGGAGAGGAATCTGAGGGGGTGCTGAGGAACACGGGGACATCGGGAAATAAAAAAAAAAAATAAGAGGGGAAAAAACAGACGGTAAGAAGTGGAAAATGAGAAGCAAGAAAAAAAAAAAGTAAACCGCATTAGACACTTAAGTTACCAAACACTTCATACCCCCTCCTCCCATCCTTATCAGTCTCCACCCTGAGCCAGGCGTGACCGCCATTACAAGGCGCTGATAACGCGGCTGAACTGGCAATCTATTACACAGGATAAGCAGCAGAGCAATGCAACATGACGGCTCACTTCTTACCTGGGGCCTGATGGGAGGCTCACAGTCTCCCCCTGATGGATGATAAATGACAGTACGCCTCATTCCAGGAGTGACTGCAGAGACAAACAAAGAGCCATGCATGTTAGGGGTTATGTAAAATCAAGAGCAGATGTTATACAAAGTATTCACCTGTGCAGACAAGCTGCTGTCAAAGTGTACCAAATACGCACAACTGAACACATTATACACAGCCAAATACTTTCCAATGACCGAGCCCTAAACAATGAAAAAAAACAACTGCAGTCGGCATATGTAATAAATAATAGAAAAAAAAAATATATAAAATCATCACCAGCAACCTTGCATACACAGGAGCTACAAAGTCGTATTATTATTTCACAGATGCGTCTTTTGCCGGCCATACATGGGTCCAAATTCCACTGATTTGTCCTCCAAAAATTGGACCTTAGGCCCCATGTAAACGGGACACTTCTGAACGATGGAAACTGACTGCTGGAAAATGTAGGTTAAAAAAAGTCTGTTTAGCCGCGTTTGCGTTTAGAAGCCTTTTTAACCGCCTCCCGCCCGCCATATAGTCCAATGACGGGCGCAAGGTGGTTCTCTCGTTCTGGAAGGACATCATATGACGTCCTCCCATTCTCACCGCGCATGCGCGGCTCCGGGGGCGCGCAGTGCGGCGATCGGTGGTGCGCTGTGTCCATCAGACACAGCGGATCACCGATCCACGGAAAGAGCCGAAGATGTCGGCTCGGTCGTGTGATCAGCTGTGTCCAATCACAGCTGATCACATGTAAACAGGGAAATGCTGGTTATCGGTATTTCTCTCCTCACGAGCTGTCACGCTGACAGAGGAGAGGAGAGCCGGTAATCGGCATTCCTCGGAGACATGTACACTGATCATCAGAGCACTGATGATCAGTGTGCCCTGATGATCAGTGTAGCCCCAGAAGTGCCACCCGTCAGTGTCCACCAGTGCCAGCTGTCAGTGCTCATCCATGCCACCTGCCAGTGCCCATCAGTGCCACAATGCCACATATCAGTGCCTACCGGTGCACATCAATGCCACATATCAGCGCCTACCGGTGCACATCAATGCCACATATCAGTGCCTACCGGTGCACATCAATGCCACATATCATTGCTCATCTGAGCTGCCTTTCAGTGTCACCCATCAGTGCTGCCAATCAGTGCCGCCTATCAGTGCCAGGCAGTGCCGCCTATCAGTGCCATATATGAGTGCTGCCTTTCAGTGCCCATCAGTGATGTCTGTCAATGCCCATCAGTGCCACCTACCAGTACCTCCTCATCAGTGCCCATCAGTGCCCATCACTGCAGCCTCATTAGCGCACATCAGTGAAGGAGAAAAATCACTTATTTACAAAATTTTATAACAAAAACTAAGAAAAATTTTTTTTTTTCAAAATTTTCAGTGGTTTTTGGTTTAAGAAAAAATAAAAATCCCCGAGGTGATTAAATACCACCAAAATAAAGCTCTGTCACAAAAAAATGATAAAAATGTCATATGGGTACAGTGTTGCATGACCGCGCAATTGTCATTCAAAGTGCGACGGCGCTGAAAGCTGGAAATTGGCCTGGGCAGGAAGGGGGTTTAAGTGCCCGGTAGGCAAGGGGTTAATGATAACCTCAGGAGACCTTACAAAATGCCCAAAATGCTCTGAAAACCAGTAGAAAAATTAACTATTTCAGAGAGAAACAGAGAGAGCAGAAGCAGAGGGAGCAGTATGTGTTGAGATGACCTGTCTTTTCTGGTTGTAGTCACTATGGATCCCATCATGAGCATAATGCGGCACGTTCTACCATTTTTTTTTCCTTCACGCAAAACCTGCAACTGACTGCGCTGGTGTACCGGGTCCATTTGTATACATGGAAAACACTTTGCACGCATTTCTGATGAGGATAAAAGGCTCTGGACAACATCTGGATATGGAACAGTTAAAAAACGCTTCTAAACGTGGTTAGCCGCGTTTACACGCGTATGAAACACTGATAAAATCTACTTCTGAACGCAAGTTTGGTGCGTTAAAAAAAACGACTAAACTCAACTGCCTGTAAGCGAAGATGTGTACATGGACACATAGGAAAACATGTGGAGAGTTCAGGGGCTGCTGAAAAAAAAAAAAAAAAAAAAACGCTTCTAAACGCAAACGCTTATAAACGCGGTTAGCCGCATTTACAAGCCTTTGAAACGCTGATAAAATCTACTTCTGAACGCAAGTTTGGTGCCTACAAAAAAAAAAAAAAAAAAAAAGACTGTAAACTCAACTGCCTGTAAACGACAATGTGTGTGAATGGACAAGGCCCATTGGCAGGAGAGTGGCTCGGGAGCAAGCCTGCTCAAGTGCCCCCACAGGAAGAAGCTTGCTATTGGGGATACCTGGCGGGGGGGGGGGGGGGGAGGAGCCAGGACTGCCAGCGGGGAACCCCGGAAGAAGAGGATCGGGGCTGCTCTGTGCAAAACCACCACACAACGCAGGTAACTATAACTGCGGGAAGACAGTGCTGGACCCCCGACACTGATAAGTACCAGATTTATAAAAGCCAGCAGGTACAGTATTTGTAGCTGCTAACTTTTAAAAAAAGAAAAAACAAAACTGAAGTTCCTCTTTACGGTGGGTGGTTGGAAGGTGGTAAAACTGCAGCTCAGCCAACTATTTTTGCTGCCATCAGTATAAATGAGGCCTTAGAAATGACTTTGGCCACATTTGACATTACAAAAAAAGCACACAGACAGGAAAGGGGAAAGGATGGACAGCACCGAAAAGCAAAGATAAAGCGCTGAGCAAACTGTTGGCGCTATTTAAATCCTCTATAATAATAATAAAAAATAATAATAAGTAAATAAATAGAAATAAATAAAAAGTGTAAATAGAAATAAATAAAAAGTGTAAATAGAAATAAATAAAAAGTGTAAATAAATAGAAATAAATAAAAAGTGTAAATAGAAATAAATAAAAAGTGTAAATAGAAATAAATAAAAAGTGTAAATAGAAATAAATAAAAAGTGTAAATAGAAATATAAATAAAAAGTGTGAATAAATAGAAATAAATAAAAAGTGTAAATAAACAGAAATAAATAAAAAGTGTAAATAAATAGAAATAAATAAAAAGTGTGAATAAATAGAAATAAAAAGTGTGAATAAATAAAGTGTGTGAAAGAAGTAACCCAAACCAGTCTAAGGAATAGATTTCCTTCCCTTGCCTGAGTAAGCATCAAAACAAACCACTGTCTGCAGGGCCCCGAGGGCCCCATAGGACAGGTCAGATGGTTGCATGTGGCCCCAAGGGAAGCAGAGCTCTAAGACACATTACAGAACATGTATTAGCACCTCAAGGTAAGTAACTCCAGATAATCAGAATCCAGATAAAACGTCTTTGTCCTGTAGACACTAAAACACTGCAGACTCAGAAGTTATAAAAAAAAGTCCAAGAACGTTACATACCGGATATTAAAACCACCAAAGTACAAACATCACCAGAATAAACACAGCACAGTATACAGGATATTAGGGCTCCACGCAGGATGTCAGCCAGACACTTGTCCTCTCAGAAACAACAACCTGCTGACGTGCTACAGAAAACCGAAAATAATCACAACTAAAATAAAAAAAAATTCAGAACTAAAACAGCCTAAAAAAAAAAATCAGAAGTAAAACCACCTGATAAAAAATTAAAACTAAAACAACCTGAAAAAAAAATCAAAACTAAAATTACCTGAAAAAAAAAAAAAACAGAACTAAAACAACCTGAAAAAAAAAAATCAGAAGTAAAACAGCCTAAAAAAAAATCAAAACTAAAACAACCTGAAAAGAATCAGAACTAAAAACAACCTGAAAAAAAAATCATACGTTAAAAAAACCTGATAAGAAAAAAGTCAGAACTAAAACAACCTGATAAAAAAAGCAGAACTAATGCAGGCCATACATGGGTCGAATTCTGAACAATTTTTCGTCCGAAAACGTTGTTCAATCAGTAATCTGATGGTGCCATCAATAATTTCGAAAATCGGCCGACCAAGTATAACGTTCACCCCATATAACAGGCGAAACTTCAGGTCACAGCTCATACGCATATTGTTTTCGGAAAAATTTTCGTACAATTTGACCATCATCGAGTCAAAATTCAGTTGTATTTCATACATTTTCCAACATGCCCGATCACCGAAAAGGGGAGGAACCATGAAAATCGGCCGGTGCCATTGACCCACTAACAGAGCGAAAATCGTCCGATTATTCTTAGGTCCGATTTATGGATGAAAAATTCAGCTGAATTTCGACCCATGTATAGCCGGCCTAAAACAACCTGAAAAATAAAATCAGAACCAAAACAACCTGAAAAAAAAAAATCAGAACTAAAACAACCTGAAAAAAAAAATCAGAACCAAAACAACCTGAAAAAAAAAAAATCAGAACCAAAACAACCTGAAAAAAAAAATCAGAACCAAAACAACCTGAAAAAAAAAATCAGAGCTAAAACAACCTGAAAAAAAAAAAATCAGAACCAAAACAACCTGAAAAAAAAAAAAAAATCAGAACCAAAACAACCTGAAAAAAAAAAAAAAAAGAACCAAAACAAAACAACCTGAAAAAAAAAAAAATCAGAACCAAAACAACCTGAAAAAAAATCAGAGCTAAAACAACCAAAAAAAAATCAAAATGAAAATAATTGAAAGAAATTACAACTAAAAACAACCTGAAAAAAAAAAAAAAAAAAAAAAAGAACTAAAACAAATCGGAAAAATCTGAACTAAACCAATGTCTATCAAATTTTTTTGAAGCACAGCCTCCCTCTAAAATCTCCTTGACCTCTGCACAGCTGCTACACATACCCCCCATCCATGTGCAATGTGTTCCATACAAACCCTTCCCTCTTCAATGTCCTAAAATAACTTTCCTATTATTATTTACTGAAATCCTCTAGTGGTACGATGGGATGTACATGTCCCCCTGGAACCCCTCACATGTACCCCACTAATTCAGAGCCTGTCATGTACACAGATACCAAATCTCCGGATTACACACATCACAGATCATAACCATTTCCTCCACATACAACACGTGTGCTACAATGTGCTCAACTCACAGAGACAGGAAAACACCCACCCAGGGAGCAGAGATAACACCCCCCATCATACAATCATACAGACAACTGACACCCCATAACACTTTGTAATTACACAGCCACCTCTACTACATACATGATCACAGGATCATACGAATATACCGAGATGATTACATTATACAGGAATGGTATAATGTCACACATTGGTGTGCGCTATGAAGGGGGCAGTGCTGGACACTGGAATGACAACACACTTGTCTTTTTTATCACAAAATGTCATTTCATTCATCTCTATGCACCATGGGAGGTGCAGTCCATGGGAAGTGCAGTCCACGGGAGGTGCAGTCCACGGGAGGTGCAGAGCATCGCAACAAGCTGTTCAATGTACACTACTGCAGAGCAATGGGGGACTCCGGAGAATGACATCAGCTGTGCCCAGATCATGGAAGTGATACCAGATGACATCTCATGGAGATAGAGTCAGACAACGAGAAACTCACACATGGGAAAACTATTAGGTATCACTGTTCTCCAACTGTCCTTTCTTTTCTCCCTCTCTGCAACTGTCATTTTTTTCTCCCTCTCACCTTCTTTCTCCATCTGTCATTTTTTTTATCCTTCTCTCTCCACCTGTCCTTTCCCCCCTCTCTCTTCCTTTCTCCACCTGTCCTTTCTTTTCTCCCTCTCTCTTCCTTTCTCCACCTGTCCTTTCTTTTCTCCCTCTCTCTTCCTTTCTCCACCTGTCCTTTCTTTTCTCCCTCTCTCTTCCTTTCTCCACCTGTCCTTTCTTTTCTCCCTCTCTCTTCCTTTCTCCACCTGTCCTTTCTTTTCTCCCTCTCTCTTCCTTTCTCCACCTGTCCTTTCTTTTCTCCCTCTCTCTTCCTTTCTCCACCTGTCCTTTCTTTTCTCCCTCTCTCTTCCTTTCTCCACCTGTCCTTTCTTTTCTCCCTCTCTCCCCCTTTCTCCACCTGTCCTTTCTTTTCTCCCTCTCTCCCCCTTTCTCCACCTGTCCTTTCTTTTCTCCCTCTCCCCCCCCTCTCTCTCCACCAGTCCTTCTTTTCTCCCTCTCTCCTTCTCTCTCCACCTGTCCTTTCTTTTCTCCCTCCCTCCACCTGTCCTTTCTTTTCTCCCTCCCTCCACCTGTCCTTTCTTTTCTCCCTCCCTCCACCTGTCCTTTCTTTTCTCCTTCTCCCTCCAACTGTCGTTTTTCTCCCTCCACCTTTCCTCTCTTTTCTCCCTCCCTCCACCTTTCCTCTCTTTTCTCCCTCCCTCCACCTTTCCTCTCTTTTCTCCCTCCCTCCACCTTTCCTCT